AGTACTTAATGTTGTGTAAGTGACTTAATATATCTCCTGGAAAACCTCGACGTACTGCAGGAGGTTTCGGTAAATACTGCTGCCTGGTCGTAGTCAGTTTTGAGAGACTCTTGTAACCGGTGTTGGATGCAAGTCTGAGATCCAAGTTTAACAGCGTGTCCATCCAGTTATAAAAAGTCTGAAGCAATTGAAGTGGCAGTCCTTACCTGACCTTTTTATTACTATAATTATTTTTTTTTTCAAATAAGAAAAAAAAGTTCGGCTACATCAAGCAAATGCTAAGAAAACATTTTTATTATGCTACATTAATGCAGTAGAATGATAAATAGGAATTAAGGCCTTGTTAAGAAGTGAATGATTAAATGAAATACCACGATTCACGGTACCTGGCCTAAAAGAACTCATGTCACAAATTAAATCCTAGAAAAGGAGCCGATACAACTAAAGTAACAATGGCATTAAAAAATTTACTGGTGCACTGTAAGTCACAGGTTTACATGGGTGGTTAATGTGCTAATCAAAAATACAACATCATAGCCTTGTCGTACAGGCTTGTTTCCTTGCAAACAACGTGTTGAAAACTCATGCCTTAAAAAGCTTTTTGCCAGGAGGTGTTTGCTAGATAATCAGAGACATAGCTGAAAACTTTAATTCTAAATTATCTTTCCAATAAGTCTACAATCTGATATATTTTAGTATGGTTAAAACATTGTTGAGTCCCATTTATTGTACAAATTAAACTTTTTAAAGCTGTTGGAACAGCTGAGTTGCTATCATCAGCTGTTCTTTTTTGCATCATGACAAACATAGTAAGCTGTACGGTGGAAATATACAGTGCACCTCAACATGTTTCACAGGCTTTACAAGCCTGTCTTATTAATGGTGTAACTTAGTTGAATTCCATGAAGCTGAAAAGCTGAAGAAGGGTTTGTTTATTTGTTTTTAACACCCTGTTTTGCTGGCACAGTATTTTCCTGTAAGCAGAAAGAGTGAAACTGAAATCAGAAGGAAGTGTTGCTTCAGTCAGTCTTGTTCCTGAAAGGAGTTACAGTTAGTGTTAAAGCCATAAATGCCAAAAGACATGTGCTACTGAAAGCCATATTTGAAGTCCATTCAAGCAGCTGTCAGTAATAAACAGTGTACAGGTACTTGTTTAAGGTGCTGCTTCTTAGGGAAATAAATAGCCACTAGCAATGTTTTGTGATTAAAGCACAGACTTACAAATACACTTCCTCTTGTTCTACCCCTTTTATTTGTTTGGAAGCGGTGATCCAAGTTTATCCATGTGCCACTGCATAGCTGTGCTTCTCTGCAAGTAGGTTTTGGCTCCTGTTGGAACTAACCTACACAAAGTTTTAAATGTTTTCCACATTAAGTCTCACGTGTTTCATTTTATGACCACCTATTGCTTTAATAGCCCAGTGCAGTAAGAATTCTGCTTGCAAATCTGTTTGGTTTGGCCAGCCAATACCTAGAAATATAAATAATCATTTGCTTTATTGCATTCAGTTTTATATTTCTCACATCCTTTGATTTACGTGGGTAATGTGTATACCATCTTAGAAACATGCCATGAGTTACTCCCACCCTGATCAGGGAATCGGGCTGGTTATCATTAACATGATGCTTTTTTCTTGCCATTAAATGTTTTGTGAGCTGGCTAATGGCCTCCCTGCCCATCTGATTCCCTGCTGAATCTTGCTTTCTATGGTCATGTGCATGAAAAAAAAAAGGAAAGGTTTTGTGGGTTTCATAGCTGACAAGTATTCCTGCCATGAGTTACTCCCACCCTGATCAGGGAATCGGGCTGGTTATCATTAACATGATGCTTTTTTCTTGCCATTAAATGTTTTGTGAGCTGGCTAATGGCCTCCCTGCCCATCTGATTCCCTGCTGAATCTTGCTTGCTATGGTCATGTGCATGAAAAAGAAAGGTTTTGTGGGTTTCATAGCTGATAAGTATTCCCAAGCAATTCTAAACCTACTAAGCTTATTGTTCAAGTGATTTAACACATAATTAGCAAGCAAATAACTACTACAGAGTGCCTTGACAATGAACATATCTTTTTGTTTTCCCAGATTCTAAACCTACTAAGCTTATTGTTCAAGTGATTTAACACATAATTAGCAAGCAAATAACTACTACAAACTCAGAGTGCCTTGACAGTGAACATATCTTTTTCTTTTCCCAGAATGGCATACCCAGGCTATCCCCCATCTGGAGGCTACCCTGCTTTCCCTGGGTATCCTGTAAGTATGGCTCTGGAATGTGTTGCATTCCTAGTGCATTTATATTCTGTCAATACTCAAGAGTTCTTACTCTGTGTGTAAATAGCAGCTGTCAGTTCATACACAGTATTCTCTAGAGTTTAGGGTCTGTTTTTGTATATCCCTGAGGATGACTTTACAGTTGTCTCATAAGAATTCCAAGAAGGAAGTTTAAGATCTATTATTTTTTTAATGCTGCCTATTGTTCCAGAAAAGTTTTTGATGGTTTGGTCTTGTTTTAGTTTGTCTAGTGAGTTTGTGTGTTTTTTCTATAGCTAACTATCTCAGCACATCTTTTTTTTTTTTCTTTTTTTTTAAAGTATCAGCAGCTCTTATGTAAGTATGAGGGTCTTTATGTACAGGGTCAGAGGCAATCTCTGAACCAGTCTCTACCAAATATTCCGTGTACCTGCACACCAGGATTTCTAGAGATGCTGAACAAACTTCAGTGGCCCTTAACTTTAGAAAGAGCTTGGAATGTTCTATTTGAACATATGACAGCAAGTAAATATTTTTCTGAGGATACAGAACACCGTATCTTGACTTTGACCCCCCCCAATCCTTCAGCCACAGGACTTTGTTCTACCTTCAGCTCATGGCTGAATGGACTAAAAATTCCAATGAAACTTAATGGAAGGCTGGAATGTATCAGGTGTGGCTGATACTGCATTCTTCTTCATATGCCTGCACTGTTTTCCAAAGCTAGATGCAACTGTATGCTTTTAACTGTGTAAGAAACCAGACTTCCTTAACTCCAGGTGGGATTTCTTTCCCATTCTCAAGATTCCATTGAACCCCCGTGACTGTAACTGTCATTTATTTTTAACTACTTCTGAAAAGGTTGTTTTGTTTTTTTTTTTTTTTCTTAGCTAGCATCTAAAATATACCCAAATTCAATAGATTAATTTAAAAGACCTGTTAGATTTGATATCATCAATTCTAGGTTTCCTGGTTTCATTGGTGATGCCCACATTGTCAAACAGTGAAAAAAACAAACAAACAAACAAAAAACACAACACCAAACCAGTGTGAAATTATTTTCTTCTGCAGTAGTGATGGTTATCTGAGCAGGGCTCTTGAGGATCTTGATTTTGGATTTGTGAATCTAAATTCTATTGAAGTCTTTTTGGTGAGTCTTGCAGATAAAGGTTAGACTGTATCACTGGAAAAGAGAAAATGATATAGCCTGGGCACAGTCATCTGGGGGTAGAAATCTTGGAGCAACCAAACATGAGGAGAACGTTTGAGCTAGACTTTATTTCTGTTTTCAAAAATGAGAGTGTACTGCATGTAATGTGTGACCCAAATTTCTAAAGCTGGTTAGTAAAGATGATTCCCAGCAAGTGAGTACTGAGTCCATACGTTATGCTTTATTATGAAGATGATTCTAAATACTTGATTTTTAAGATCAAGTATATGACTTTTACAGATTTCCCTTTGAGATCCTAGTCATTCAAATACATAGTTCTAATGTATGTTCATGCTGATAGCAACTTTTGTGGTATGACTGGTAAGCGTGACATAGCAAAACAAAGGCACATAGAAGTTTGACTTGTTCTTTTTATTTACAACCTGTAATGGGTGTTTAGTCTGACTCTGGTCCAGATTTAGTCATTGAATGTTCATGCCTGATAACCTGGATTCCAAAGGAAATGCTAAAAAAACCACCCCAACCCACCTCTTGTATGTTCTCACCATGTAACATTTAAAAATGCTGGTTATGCAAGAGAGGCAGAAGTTTCAAAGGTACTAAGCTCTTAAAAGTCCTATAAAAGTAGGTGAGCTCCTAATGATTCATAGAAAGCAATCTGAGCTCACCTGTTACTCCTGTGGGATAGGAGTAGCAGCTTTCCAGTGAAGTCCTGGTGCTTGACAAGTCGCCTGTGGCTCAGTGGTGTGTGTCCCCAGGTAGGAAGGCTAATGACATACCAGGCTCTAGCAAGAGTGAAGCCACCAGGTCAAGGGAAATGATTATTCCTCTGTGCTCATGAGGCCACATCTGGAATACTGTGTCTAGTGGCTTCCCAGTATAACAGAGACACAGACAAATAGGAGTGTGTCCAAGGAGGGCTGCTTGCCTAAAGAAGAGAAGCCTAAGCAAAGATCTGTTAAGTCTTCTGCTGTGTAGGAAGTGCTACAGACACTAGAGCCAGGTTCTTGTCAGAGGTACACAGTGAAAGGGCAGCTGGCAACAACCACAGGTTGTATTTGTAATTTGATTTGAGGAAAACATTTTTCATCATGAGAGAGTCAGCCAGGGAACAGGGTCTCAGTGAGGCTGTGGATTTGCTGTTCCTTGGACATACCGAAAACTTGATAAGGGCTTGCATGACCTCATCTAACTGTGAAGCTGGCCCTGCTTTGCAGGTAGATGGGATCAGAGGCCATCCAGAGGTGCCTTCCACCTTGCAACACTCTGATTCTGTGTCAACATGGGAGATGCATCAGAAAACCTAACCAGGAGGCCCCCGTCCAGGCTTCAGGAATTCTGCTGTTGGCACTTCAACTGCCGAATCTAATTATATAATTCACGTTGTTATTCACATGGATGTTTTGGTAGCTTGAGAGTTCTCACTCTGAAGTCCTGTCACCAGGTGAACAGACAGACCATTTTTGTGTTTCAGCCGACAGGACAAGAGTCTGTCTACCCGCCAGCTGGTCAGTACTCCTATCCTGGAGGATACCCTCCAGCAGGAGGAGGGGCCTATCCTGCAGCACCACCCAGTGCTGGGTACCCAGGAGCAGCAGGATATCCTGCCCCGGGGGGCTACCCAGTTCCTCCCCAGGCTGGAGGAATACCACCTTATCCTGGAGGTAAGATACTTTGTTAGAGCATCAAATGGTGTAACCATTCCCTGCACTTAGCAGAAGCAGTAAAGAAAAGCAGCTTTGTTGAGGCAGCAGCCTGCAGGCAGCCAGGCAGATTGCTATCCAGCAGGAAACGCCTGTCTGCTGACAGCAGGGCCTTGATGGTTTTGGGCCACTGCACAGACACGGAGCAATCAAGTCTCTTGCGTAGCTCTGCTCAATAATCTGTCTTATACTGCCTCAGAAGTCAAGTGCAGAACATTAAGTGTGCTGAAGTCTTTCTTCTCCTCCTAGCTCCTTCAGGCCCTGGGTTTGGTGTGCCTCCCACTGGCCCTGGCTTTGGTGGCTATCCGCAGCCTCCTGCCCAAAACTATGCTGGAGGTGGACCGGCACAAATTCCAGGTATGTCACACATAAGCAACGAGGTTAAACCAAGAGATCCCAGGATAGGTAGTAACAAATTAGGCTCTTACCTTTGTTACTTTCAGCTGTTGAGCTTTGTATGCCGTACACCTCTTGCCACCTTTCTTGACAAGACCACTGAAGGGCTGATGAGAACCATCTCTGTATGTGCTACATCCAAAAGAAGGGATGGCTGTCACTGATTAATGGTCAGGAGTAGTTGTTTAGGTGCTTGGCCTTCTTCAAACTTCAGGTATTTCATGAGAACTGTGAAATCCAAAGTCCACATTCAATGAGTATCTGGCTGTTTGATCCATTTCTTTGAGATGAATAGATTTCTAACACCCATGTGTTCATGGTGATCCCTGGTATAGGGGGAAGTGGAAAGGAGAACGCACACAATAGTTTAAAAACAGTGCAGTGTTTTTAATGCTTTGAATGGTCAGTTGCCATCAGGACAAGTTTTGTCCTGGAATGTGTCTGGTTTTTTTTCAAGAAATTCAAAACAGCAGAACTTTTTTTTAGTGATTCCTTTAACTCCAGCAACTAAGCTGCTGTTAAAATTATGATAATTGTATATATGTACTATGACAAAAAGAAAATTACAGTACAAAAAGAAGTAGTTGTAGCTTTTGTATTCACAGTGTTCCCAATCACAAAATGAAATTCCTTCAATTCTTTTTAAACCAATGAATTCTTAGTATTTATTGCTAATGATAAACATTTTAAAGTGTATAATATGCCTCTTAGAGAGAGTACAGGACTTGCACTCTTCTTTTGTATGGGCTGTCTTGGCCTTTGTCAAAGATAGTTGTGTTTAATAAGGAGAAATCCTTCCAGCTGTCACAGCACTGGTGAATTTTGTATTTTAAGAACTGCCTTGCTCACCTATCTACCAGAACGTGTCTGCGGCTGCTTCTCCCCATCCTTCCCTAGTGCAACAAGTTCACTTGCTGATCATGACGAGTATCATTGCTTAGGGAACAAGTTGTGTAGTGGTAGGGTCTGTAAATGGCTTTTTTTTTTTTTTCAGAATAGATAGCATTTACATAATAAGAAGAGACTTAATTAATTCTTTTTATCTTGTTCCTTATTTTCAGTAGGATATTCTGGTGGACAGACACCATCACCAATGCCTGGTCTGGTATGTGCTCTATCCTCTTCTATAATCACTCTGATGTGGCTTCTGTAGTTTTAATGATTCTCAGCTGTTTTCCAACAATCTACAGCGTGTTCTGCATCAGGAGTTCTCAGCTACATGCAAGAGTGCAACCTGAACAAAATCATAATCCTGTAGCTGTGTATACTATCCAGTCAAGTAGACCTTCATCCATACAATTGGGTAAAAGCATCGCTTTGGCATTGGTGAGCCAAAGCTGTTCAACACAACTCAATGCCACTCTGATGCTCTTTTGAGGGGAAAAAAAATGGGGAACTAATGGACAACTCCTTCTGAAGTACTGATTCCCAAGCTGTGATTTTAATTTGAATTTGTGTTGTGTGGGATAGCTAGTTAGGTGTGACTCTTGTTTTCAGCCTGCAGCGATGGTTCAGCATACCCAGGGCACAATTCAAGCTGCTCCAGACTTTGATGCTGGAAGGGACGCAGAAATCCTACGCAAAGCTATGAAGGGATTTGGTAAGTAAGCAATAGAAGCTTAAATTTCTATCCAGGTAACTTCTTAATGCCATTTTGTCCTTTTCTTCAATTTTTATTAAACCATACATTTTTTTTCTCCCCAAGCTTTTCAAAAGTCACTCTTTCAAAACAACTTGGGCAGTTTAGTAGATGATGTTCCATAGAAAATTTGATAGACATAAGTGGCAATCATTTATCATGTAACTATGCCCAACTGCAAGATATAAAATGCAGTCTCAGAGGGATTACTCTGAGTTCTTACAAGAAATTGCCCTTCTCTTTCCAAGGAACTGATGAGCAGGCGATCATAAATGTTGTTGCTAACCGCTCCAATGATCAAAGGCAAAAAATCAAGGCAGCTTTCAAGACTATGTATGGCAAGGTATGTTCACTAGTTCTTTGAATCAGTAAACAAAATGAAAACTTTGGACTGCTGCTTTAACTGCACAATTCCATTTTAGTCCTGCAGAGTGGTTTGGGCATTTTTAAAACATGGGTTTTTGGTTATATACCTTGTGTACCAGAGGACATCTGGTATTTAACACAGTGTTGTACTGACACCTGGCAGAAGCAGCAGTGGGGGAAGGCTTGAGGCTGGTTCTGTCCCTGACCAAACAATAAGCTTCTCTGTTTTTGTAATGCTAGAAAGATAGAAAATAATCAAGCTTAAGCTCTCCTTGTATTAGTGTCTGAAACTACCAAGTTTTTTATGCATCCAGACCAGCACTGAGAACTGTCCTTTTTGTAAGAAATAAACCAAGAAACCAGTTGAGGATTGGTTAGTCAATAAAAAGTTAAGATAATTCAGTTTCTTCCCTCTGCCATTTTT